ACCCTAAACCCTAAACCATAAACCCTAACCCTAAACCATTAATCCATCAACCCTAATCCCTTAACCCTAAACCCCTAAACCCAAATCCTAAAACCCTGACCCTAAAATCTAAACCCTAAATCCTAAACCCTAAACCCTAAACTGTAAACATTAAACCCTAAAACCTAAACCCTAAACCCAAACCCTAAACCCTAAACCATAAATCCTAAACCGTAAACCCTAAATCCTAAACTCCTAACCCTAAAAACCATAAACCCTATACCCTAAACCCTAAACCCCAAACCTAAACTCTAAACCCTAAATCCAAACTCTAAACCCTAAACCCTAAACCCTAACCCTAAATCACAATCATCCCCTAAACCCTTAACCATATATCCTAATCTTAATCCCTAACCCTAAATACAAAGCCCGTAACTCTAAACCCTAATGCCGAAACCTTAAACCCTAAATCCTAAACCCTGAACTCTAATCCTAAACCCTAAACCCTAACTCTAAACCCTAAACCCTAAATCCTAAACCCAAAATCCTAAACCCTAAGCCCTAAACCCTAAATCCTAAACCCTAAACCCTAAACCATAAACCTTAAACCCTAATTCTAAACCCTAAATCCTAAACCCTAGACTCTAGACCCTGAACCCTGAACCCTAAATCCTAAACTCTAAACCCTAAATTCTAACCCTAAACCCTAAACCCTACTATAATGTCATTACTTCTATTGAGGAAAAGCTTAGAGGGATACCTTATAACATGAGGAAAAGCTTAGACTTCATTGCAGTGATTGAAGCATGTGGGCTCATTGATCTAGGCTTCAGTGGACAAAGGTTTACTTGGTCCAATAAAAGGGGTATACATTACAGAATCTGGAAAAGACTGGACAGGGCACTGGTTAATGACAAATGGCTGGAAACAATGCCTCAAACTACTATCACTCATTTACCATTTGTAGGATCAGACCACTGTCCTTTACTGATGGAAATGTGTGTTAGGGAAGAAAATCACATAAGGTATTTTAAATTTCTCAGTTGTTGGGCTGATCAACCCAATTTCTTGGATATTGTTAAAGTCTGCTAGGACAGAACTATAGAAGGTAACATCATGTGGAAATTTCATCAGAAATTGAAAAGATTGTCCAATACCCTTAGTTCTTGGTCCAGGAGGTAATTTGGAGACATCTTTGTTAAGGTCAAGGGTATGAAGAGAAGGTCAGGAATGCTGAAGAAAATCTTATTCAAGACCAGACTGAAAACAACAGGGCAACACTTTATGAGCTTAATGCATAATACATCAGATTTTTGAAAATGGAAGACTCCATTTTAAAACAAAAAACTCAACTACAATGGTTCAAAGAAGGAGATGCTAACACTAAGTATTTTCATTCACTGATAAGAGGAAAGAGAAGAAGACTGTTTATACATAAACTTATCAGTGAAGAGGGGGAGTGGAAACAGGGAGAGGATAACATTGTTGAAGTTGCCTGTGGACATTTCCAAAAGATCTTTACAGGGGAGGACAAGGTTATCAATGAGAATGTTATCAATTGTATCCCCAGGATGGTCAACCAGGAACAAAATAATAATCTGACTACTATGCCTACTGTAGAAGAGTTGAAGGAAGTGGTTTTCTCTATGAATCCTAATTCTGCAGCTGGTCCTGATGGGATGAATGGGTATTTCTTTCAGAAATGCTGGCATATTATCAAGAAGGATTTATTTGGAGTTATTCAAGCATTCTTTTGTGGTCAAATGATTCCTAAATATTTCTCTCATTCTTGCATTGTTCTCCTCCCTAAAGTGAGCAATCCTAACAAACTCACTGAGTTTAGGCCCATCAGTGTAAGTAATTTCACTAGCAAGATTATATCTAAATTGGTGAGCTCTAGACTTGGCCTTATCTTACCTAACCTGGTTTCTCTAAATTAGTCGGGATTTGTCAAAGGGAGGAGTATATCAGAAAACATTATGCTAGCCCAAGAGATTATTCACCAGATTAAGAAGCCTAATATTGGGAGCAACGTTATTATTAAATTGGACATGGCTAAAGCATATGATAGAGTTTCTTGGTCCTATATATGCTTGGTGTTAAGAAGAATGGGGTTTGACGAGGTATTTATTGACATGATTTGGAGGATCATGGCCAACAATTGGTACTCTATTATTGTCAATGGCAAAATACATGGTTTCTTTCATTACACGAGAGGTATCAAACAAGGGGATCCCATATCTCCTGCCCTATTTATTTTAGGTGCAGAGGTCCTTTCGAGATCCCTTAACAGGCTGCACAGCAACCCCACCTATCATGGATTTTACATGGAGGCCAGAGGACCTCAAGTAAATCACTTAAGTTTTGCTAATGATATCATCCTCTTCACTTCTGGAAGGCAGAATACTTTAAAGCTTATTATGCAAACTCTGAATTCCTATGAGGAGACTTCTGGACAGCTCATTAATACGGATAAAAGTCACTTTATGGTCCATTCAAATGCCTTCAACAGCACAAGAGAAAGGATTAAAAGAATCACAGGTTTCAAACAAAAAGAGGGTCCTATCACTTACCTTGGTTGCCCTTTATTTGTTGGTAGACCGAGGATTGTCTATTTTTCTGATCTTATTAACAAAGTCTTATGCAGAATTACAGGTTGGCAAACTAAGCTATTGAGCTATGGTGGTAGAGCAATATTGGTCAAGCATGTCATTCAATCTTTGCCTATTCACCTTCTTTCAGCAGTAACTCCACCCACTACTGTCCTCAAGCAAGTTCAAAGTATAATGGCAGATTTTTTCTGGGGGTGGAGGAATGAGAGGAAAAAATACCATTGGGCATCATGGAAGAATCTTAGCTTTCCTTATGATGAGGGAGGAATTGGTATGAGAAATCTCAAAGATGTTTGCAAGTCTTTCCAATATAAACAATGGTGGATTTTTAGATCCAAACAAACACTTTGGGGAGAATTTGTAAGGGCTAAATATTGTCAAAGATCTAATCCGGTTAGTAAAAAATGGGATACGGGTGATTCTCTGACCTAGAAGCACCTGATGCACAACAAATACAAAGTGGAAGAACACATTCAATGGAAGCTCAATTCGGGCAGCTGTTCTTTTTGGTGGGATAATTGGCTTGGCATTGGACCTCTTGCGCATTTCTCTGCTGACAGTAACAGACTCAATAACATTACGGTAGCAGAATTTTGGCATGAAGGACAATGGAACTGGAACATGCTCATCCAGCAATCACCCAGCAACCAACTAACAAACATCCTATCAACAAAACTGCACACCCAGCAGGGCATCCCCGACCAGGCCATCTGGAAACTCAGCACTTATGGCAAATTCAACTGCTCCTCTGCATGGAATGATATCAGGGAGAAGAGATGCAAGACTAAATTCAACTCTCTCATTTGGCACAAGAGTATCCCTTTTAAATCTTCTTTTCTTTTGTGGAGAACCTTAAGAGGTAAACTTCCTACTAACGAGAAACTAACTAGTTTTGGCAGTGAGCCAGCCAATTGTTTTTGTTGTTGTAACAGGCCAGGTATGGACACAATCCAACATACTTTCAACAATGGACAATTTGCTACTTATGTGTGGAAAAACCTCGTTGCAGCTGTAGGAATCACCACATACCACAGCTCCCTACAACAACTCATCATGCAATGGTGGTCAACTAAATACAATAATGAAGCACATAGGCTGTTACTACAAGCTACTCCAATATTCATTTGTTGGAACATATGGAAGAATAGATGTGCTAGTAAATATGGGGGAAAACAATCCAATGCCAACAGGGTCAGATATGTCGTATACAAGGACAACTACAAGCTCATGACTACAACCTTTCCTTACATCAAATGGCCTTCGAACTAGAAGGAAAATGTGTGCATGATATCAAAGTGACACTTGTTAAGCGAACAAAACCTCCTACTCAATGGGTAAAAATCAACACGGATGGCAGTGCACTAAGTAATCCGGGCAGAACTGGAGCAGGAGGTATCATACGGGATCAGGCTGGAGAAATGTTACTTGCATTTGCCACTCCATTGGGGGAAGGCACCAATAACCAAGCTGAAGTAGAAGCTACGATTTTCGGGATGACCTGGTCCTTAGAATTAGGCCACAAGAATGTCCTTTTGGAGGTAGATTCACAGCTTCTAGTGGACTGGATAATGCAGAAAATCAACCCTCACTGGAGCATCAGCACACAACTAGAGAAATTACAGGCTCTCATCGATCAAACACAAGAGTTTAAATGTAAGCACACCTTCAGAGAAGCCAACTTTGTGGCTGATTCCCTTTCAAAACATAGTCACAAGATCACTAGTCCCCAACTCTATTTCAATAATCATCAATTACCAAAAGAAGCTAGAATTTACTACCAACTAGACTTGCTAGAAATGGCAAATTTCAGATGAAGGAGAATTAAGAGGATTAAGGAACCTCCTTGAATATAGCACAACCTTTTCTACCTAGCTATAGTTTAAAATGATAGCTCCTTAGAATAGGTTTTTTTACTGATTTTGTAAAGGGAGAGTCTCCCTCAGCATTGAGAAACATGTGCCCTAGAACCAAAAAAGTCAGCACATCAACAATCCAAATCAATCCAATGATCAGACCAATCCCAACAACACTCAGCATACCAAAAAGGATCAGATTAGTGAACCAGCTCCTTACACAGTAGTGCAAACCATGGCTGCTAGAATTAGGCACAATCAAGCCCAACAAGAAACTTCCATCGAGCTGGTGCCTCCTAAAATTACATCCAAACAAGGACTACCGGCTGTCATTTATGATATGGAAGATTTTATGACAAAATTGGCTGTGGATTGCAAATATACTTTGATAGGAAAATTCAGCAGCACCATGCCAAAGATGGAACTCATCAGAAAGAGCTTCATCATGCAAACTCAACTAACTAGGAGGGCCAATATAGCTCACTACAATGCAAGACATGTGTTTATTGACCTGGAAAATGAACTGGACTATAACACAGTGTAGACACAACAAAGAATGACTATTGAAGGCAAACTTATGAGGATACAGACCTGGACACCAAACTTCAGACCTGAGGAAGACACACCCATTGTTCATATATGGATACTCCTCCCAGGGTTACCATGGCACTTTTTTAAAATGGAGTTTATAACACCCATTTTATCTCCTATAGGCAAAGTCGTGTACCTTGACACAGCCTCCATTAAGAGAACAAGAGCTAGCATGGCCAAGGTAAAAGTCCAAGTTGACTTGACTAAGGCTAGACCTAGACATTTATGGATTGGATTAGATGAGAAGGATCTTACCATAGGAAGATGGCAAACTATTGAATATGAAAGTATTCCTCCATATTGTGAGTATTGCAAACATCAAGGGCACATGATATATGAGTGTAACTTCAAAATAAGGGATGAGGAATTTAAGAAAATGAAGGAACTGGAAGTTGAAAAGAAGGACAAAAATAAAGGGGAACAAATGCCAAAGGGCAATGACAACAAATAAACCAAGGCACAAGAAAATGAAGAGGAGCAAAACCAAAGCAACAAAGAAGTTAGCCACCAAAGACAAGCTATACAGCAAAAGGAAGAAGAATGGCAAACACAAAAAAGAAAAAACAACAAGCAACAGGAGGAAAAAGTTCAAAAAGCAGTGTGGAGACCAACCTCACCACAAAACAGGAGGACAACTCAGCAAGCAGGTATAACAAATAACCCTAATCATAATTCCTTTACTAATCTAAACATGCAGGAAGTTCAACATGAAGACATAGATGAGCATACAGAAATGAAAGGACACAAACACAAGGAGCAAAATACAGGTCTGTAACAGACCATAACCAAGCAACTCAGGCATTAAGAAAGGGAAACAAGGAATACAACAAGAGCACATGTATTGACTCAATGCTCCCAATCCCCACACACCCTAACAATGTGTCTATTGAATGCAATGATGAAGTTGAAGGAGGGATGGATGGGGGAAGTCAGGAGAAACATTCTAACATGCAGGGCGGGGTATCCAAAGGGGGGAATTTGACTCATGTTTTGCATAAGGGGGTACACACTGACCATAGTCCTGACTTTAGAACCTCTGCAACCACTATGGCTCACCAACACAACACACAACAACAACAGAAACTGCAGCAACAACATACAGAAACTACAAATTGTACAAAAGAACAATAGGGTAACACTACTGAAAGAGGGCAGAAGAACCATAATGTACAGGCCGATGAAGTATCAGAAATTGACAAATCCAAGCAACAGGCAGACAAAGGGGGGAATCACAATCAAAGAGGGGCAGCTATGGCAAAAGATATGGGGTCCAAAGCTAGCACTAGCAAACAAGGGACCACCCCGAAGAGAAAGAATAAACCTAGTAAAAAGAAGAGGGAAGCAGCTAAGAAAAAATTAAATGCTAAGCAAGGAAATGATCAAAACCAGCAGGAGGAACAGACTAATCAGGACAACAACTGCAAGAAGTTTATTATGGTGGATGATCTGCAGGGTATGGATATTACTCCCCTTCAAACTCAGTATCTTACTCCCCCTCCCAATGATCCTCAAGACAGAGCAGCAACATGCAAGGTCAACTATGTGCCAGTTATTGACGAATATGATGTGGAAAATTCTGAAGATGAACTAGATATAGATAATCAATCTTTACAAGACCAGGATGATGATGATGAGACTAGTGAGTTGTCATTTAAAGCTTTTAGTCCTCATTATGCCAATGATCTAGAAGAGGAAATCCACCAGGTATCAAGTCAACAAGGATTATCACCTAGAGGAATGCATTATGACAGGTTCCAGACCAAACAAGGGCAGAATCCTAGTGTTGTCACAGCAGGCAGACCAAACACCAGGCTCTTTACTTCCAAATCATCCCAATGATCAGTACACTCATATGGAATGTAAGGGGGATTAACACCCAAGGTGTTATGGAAAGACTCAAAATGCTCAAGAAGATGCATCATATTTCTATTATATCTATCCTGGAACCTTTCTTAGACAGTACTCATGTTCAGTCTTTTAAACAGCAACTTGCAATGGATCAGGCTATGAGTAATTACAATGGTAAGATATGGTTATTTTGGAATTTGGATGTTGATTGCAAAGTATTAGAGGAGGATGAACAACAAATTACTTGTGAAATTACCCATAATGAGCTGCAAACTCAATTCACTACCACATTTGTTTACGCCAAATGCAAAGACCATCTTAGAAGACCTCTCTAGGATAGAATGCTTCATCATGCCAATGCTACAACCAACTCTCCTTAGTGTGCAGTAGGTGATTATAATGTTATCACTTCTATGGATGGAAAGCTAGGAGGGGTGCCTTACAACATGAAGAAAAGTTTGGAGTTCATAGTTGTAATTGAGGCGTGTGGTCTGCTGGATCTTGGCTTCAGTGGACAGAAGTTTACATGGTCTAACAACAGGGGTATACACAACAGGGTGTGGAAAAGATTAGACATGGCTATGGTAAATGACTCTTGGCTGGAAAAAATACCTCAAACCACCATCATTCACCTCCCTTCAGTGCGATCTGATCACTGCCCACTATTGATGGAAATGAAGGCTAGATGTGAGGATCATACTAAATACTTCAAGTTCCTAAATTGTTGGGCTGATCAGCCTAACTTCATTGACATTGTTCAAGCATGCTGGGAAAGGGAATTGGAGGGCAACAGTATGTGGAGGTTCCATCAGAAACTCAAAAGACTGGCTGGCACTCTTAGCTCTTGGTCCAAGGGAGAATTTGGAGACATCTTTATCAATGTCAAGGAGTATGAAAATAAAGTCAAAATTGCTGAGGAAAACTTTATTCAAAACAATACAGAAGAGAACAGATCTGCCTTACATGAGCTGAATGCAGATTACATCAGATTTCTAAAATTTGAGGACTCTATCCTAAAGCAAAAAACACAACTCCAATGGTTTAGGGAAGGTGACAACAATACTAAATATTTTCATTCACTGATAAGAAGGAGAAGAAGGAGACTTTTTATCCACAAAATTCTAAAGGATGATGGGGAATGGTTACAAGGAGATGAAAATATTGCAGATGCAGCTTATTATCACCTCCAACAAATCTTCACAGGTGAAGATAAGTTCATCAATGAAGGGCCTCTTGAATGCCTCCCTAGAATGATCAATCAAGAAGACAATGATAAACTAACTGTCATGCCTACCTTGGAAGAATTAAAAGAAGTGGTTTTTTCCATGAACCCCAATTCAGCAGCTGGTCCAGATGGCATGAATGGTTGTTTTTTCCAGAAATGCTGGCAAATCATCAAACACGACCTGCTAGAAGTCATCCTAGCATTTTTCAGTGGGCAGATGGTTCCCAAATATTTTTCCCACTCTTTGCATTGTTTTGCTGCCCAAAGTGAGCAATCCTAATAAATTATCTGAATTCCGGCCCATCAGTTTAAGCAATTTCACCAGTAAAATTATTTCTAAACTGCTAAGCCTGAGATTGGGACTTATCCTACCAAACCTGATTTCTCTCAACCAATCAGGCTTTGTCAAGGGGAGAAGTATTTCAGAAAACATCATGTTAGCTCAAGAGATCATTCATCAGATTAAGAAGCCTAATATTGGGAGCAATGTGGTCATTAAATTGGATATGGAAAAGGCCTATGACAGGGCCCCTGGGTCTTATATCTGTCTGGTTTTAAGGAAAATGGGCTTTGATGAGAATTTTATTGACATGGTGTGGAGGATCGTGGCAAATAATTGGTATTCAATTATTGTTAATGGGAAAAGGTATGGCTTCTTTCAATCCACTAGAGGTCTGAAGCAAGGTGACCCCCTATCACCTGCCCTATTTATTTTAGGGGTTGAGGTCCTTTCTAGATCATTGAACAGAATTCACAGCAATCCTAACTATCATGGTTTCTTTATGGAGATGAGAGGCCCTCAAGTTAATCACCTTAGCTTTGCGGATGATATTATCATATTTACTTCTGGAAGGAAAAAGTCTCTTGAACTGATTATGCATACTCTGAATACATATGAGGAGACTTCTGGACAGCTAGTGAACAAAGACAAAACCAATTTTATGGTTCATTCCAATGCCTTCAACAGCACTAGGGACAGGATTAAGAGAACTACTGGTTTCAAGCAAAAGGAGGGTCCTATTACTTATCTTGGATGCCCCATGTACATTGGCAGGCCAAGAATTATTTACTTTTCTGATCTTATCAACAAAGTGATTAATAGAATTACAGGATGGAAGGCAAAAATCTTGAGCTATGGAGGCAGAAATACCTTAGTCAAGCATGTGTTACAATCCCTCCCCATTCACCTTGTTTCTGCTATATTTCCTCCTTCTACTGTTATCAAACAAATTCAGAGCCTTATAGCAGACTTTTTCTGGGGATGGAAAAATGACAGGAAAAAATATCATTGGTCCTCATGGAAGAATTTGAGTTTTCGTATGAGGAAGGAGGCATTGGTATGAGAAACTTAAAAGATATGTGCATGGCTTTTAAATATAAGCAATGGTGGATCTTTAGATCAAAACACACTCTTTGGGGAGATTTCTTGAGAGCTAAATATTGTGAGAGATCTAATCCTATCAGCAAGAAATGGGACACTGGTGAGTCCCTTACCTGGAAACATTTAATGCACAACAAAGTAAAGATTGAGGAACACATACACTGGACAATCAACTCTGGAACTTGTTCTTTCTGGTGGGATAATTGGCTAGGAGTCGGGCCTTTAGCAAACTTCTCTAATGAAAGCAACAGGTTCAACAACAATACAGTGGCTGACTTCCTGATTGAGGGCCAATGGAATCTGGAGATGGTGATACAGCAGGCCCCTCATAGCATGGTAGCTAGCATCCTAGATACTCACATTCAGTACCAGCAAGGCATCCCTGACCAGGCAGTGTGGAAACTTAATTCTGATGGAAATTTCACTTGTTCTTTTGCCTGAATGAACTCAGGGAAAAAAGGAACAAGTCTCAGTTTTATGCCTTTATTTGGCATAAAAACATCCCTTTTAAATGTTCCTTTTTGCTGTGGAGGGCACTAAAGGGGAAGCTACCTACTAATGAAAAAATTTCTAGCTTTGGCAATGAACCAGTAACATGTTTTTGCTGTGACAGACCTGGGTGGGACACTATAGATCACATCTTCAACACTGGTCACTTTGCAACACATGTATGGAGGTATTTTGCTAGGCATGCTGGAATCAAAACAGATCACACCCCACTTATTCATCTAATCATGAGATGGTGGTCGACCAAGTACAACAATGAAGCTCACAAGTTAATTCTCCAAGCTACTCCAATATTCATTTGCTGGAATATATGGAAGAACAAGTGCGCGAGGAAATATGGAGGAAAACAGTCCAATGCCTCTAGAGTTAAGTATGCAGTTTACAAAGACAACTACAAGCTTATGACTACCACTTTCCCCTACATCAGATGGCCCTCGAACTGGACAGACTTGATCAAACAGGCAAAGAAGTGTGTTCATGATACCAAGGTACTTATGGTGTCTTGGCAAAGACCTCCTGAACAATGGGTGAAACTAAATACAGATGGTAGTGCTTTAAGTAACCCCGGGAGAATAGGTGCAGGAGGTATAATCAGAGAACACAGTGGTGAAATGATCTTAGCTTTTGCTACCCCACTAGGAAATGGAACCAACAACCAAGCTGAAATAGGAGCAGCCATATTTGGAATGACATGGGTACTTCAACTAGGTTACAGGAGTGTCATTTTAGAGGTGGATTCACAGCTATTAGTTGATTGGATTATGCTCAAAGCTAAACCTCCATAGAGTATTAATACACAGGTACAGAGGCTTCCAGAGCTCATCAGACAAACTCACAACTTTAGATGCAAACATACCTTTAGAGAAGCCAATTTTGTTGTCGATTCACTGTCCAAACAAAGTCATAAGATCACAGGTCCTCAAATATATTGCAGCAATCAACAATTACCACAAGAAGCCAGATCCTACTACCAACTAGACATGCTTGAAATAGCAAGCTTCAGGAGAAGGAAAATTAAGAAGATAAAAGAACCTCCCTGAATATGAACATAACCTTTTCAACTTAGCTATGGTTTAAAATTATAGCTCCTTTGAATAGGTATAGATTTCTATTTTTTGCTATTGTAAGGGGAGAGTCTCCCTTATTTATGTTTCCTAGATTCGATGTATTGAGAGGAGTCCTCTCTTTTAGGTACTTAGTCTCTAGGTTTCAACTTTTAGTATGGGGATTAGTTGACTATCCTTAGTAGGAAAGTCGACTGATGAACCACCATAGGATTGAAGGTCAGGTTTATGTCCCCCTCCTTGTACTTATTTTGTTTTTTATCTATGCTAAGGCCTGGGGGTGTTGCTAAGCCCCTGACCCCCTCAAGGGTCGTTCAAACAAAAAAAAAAATTAAAAAAAAAATCCTAAATCCTAAACCCTAAATCGTAAACCCTAAATCCTAAACCCTAAATCCTAAACTCTAAATCCTAAACTCTAACCCTAAACCCTAAACTATAAACCCTAAATCCTAACCCTAACCCTAACCCTAAACCCTAAACCCTATACCTATAACCTGAAACCCTAAACCCTAAACCCTAAACCCTATACCATAAACTCTAAACCATAAACCATAAATCATACACCCTAAACTCTAAACCCTAAACCCTAAACCCTAAATGTGAAACCCTAAACCCCAAACGCTAATTTCAAAACTCTAAACCCTAACCTTAAACCCTAAACCATAAATCCTCAACCCCAAACCTAAAATCTAAACCCTAAATCCAAAATCTAAACCCTAAACTGATGTAAAATAGATTACATCAAGCCTATCCATTCACGAACTTCAATGCTCTGATGGAGTGCTCACAAGGATGGAGGTTGTTTGGTATGTAT